CACACACACACACACACACACACACACACACACACACACACACACACTCCCTGGGGTGTTCCTCCCTCCAGAGAGGAGGACATGAGAAGGTGCGGAGTCCATTCACCCGTATAGACAGAGAGAAAATTAATTTGTCACAGCACGTTTATCGTCATGACAACCTGCCTTTTAATTAAGGTCTGACAAACGGCAGAGTGTCGCGTCTCTCTCTGGGGAACGACAGATAGAAAGGAAGTGGAGGGAGAAAGGAAAAGTGCTCTCTTCATCACTTGTGACTGACGGAGGAAGTGGAGGATGGCAGACCTGTGAGCATTCGTTAAGATACGGACATTGTGTTGCGTGTGTACTTGGTAAATAGTTAAGCTGAGGCTTAGTTCAGTCAACTCAAACTACTCTGTTAAGAAAAGATTATCATCACACAGCAGTCGCTGTTGAGCTTGGAAGTGATTGATAAATATATATGCACTAAAAAACTTCTTAAAAGGAATAATGACAACCGTCCTTGGTTGTACAACTTATAATGTATTACTCCTTTTACTACTAGTTTCACTTTTAGTTTCTTAATATATATATATAGAAAAAAATGAAGGTTAAAGAAGCACTGCAATGTAATTGAATCATGTAATCGTGGACAAAGGTTTACCATCTTTGCATTTTGTTTTCTGTTATGTCCTCCAATGCACCAGTTCCAAACCTATGTCTTCATCAGAAATGGTAGATTTACATTTTTATACTTGAAAGCCATACTATGGATACAAATATAAATTCTTCAAAATACACTGTACACAATATACTGTTTGTACTTATATAACATATATACAATTTGTGTCAATTCCACAAGAAATATATCACCAATCAGGCTGAATCCTACCCAACGTCACAAAAGGACAAAGTGGCTTTATGTCTCCATTATCAAAATTGCGTGTGTTTCTGCATGCATGCGTGTGTCTGTGTGTGTGTGTGCGCGCAGCAGTCAAACCCAGCGGCAGCCCCTTGACAGCGTGTCACAGTGCATTAATAAAGGCCGACTGTGGCCTATAACCCTGTCACAGTACTCACAAACTTTCGGTTTTGTCTTCTGAGTGGTAGCCGAGTTCCAGAGCCAGCCGCTGGCATTTAGTCCTGGCTGAAAAGCCAAACAACTTCTGTCCGACAAGCCCGCTCTGTCATGTAAAACTAAAACATCTCAGCTTGGCCGTGTGAGAGGGGAACAGAGACGAGCTTGTGTTCATCCGGCTCCCAGAAAGACCACAGAGCTCTTTAAAGCATCAAACCATAAAAACAGACCCGCTGCCTCAAATACCGCCCGAGTGAAGAGCGAGCGTGTGTGTGTGTGTGTGTGTGTGTGTGTGTGTGTGTGTGTGTGTTCTACCTCTTGAGGTTAAGCAGAGCCCAGGGTATGCCGGTGGGCGTTTTGAAGGCTGGCAGCAGCTTTTCACCCAGCTCCACCGCCTTCCTACGGTATACCTGTGAAAGAGAGGGAGAAAGAAAGACAGCGTCTCATTGAAAGAGGCTTCTAGCTCACATTCTCTTGACCATTTGAGAGAGAAAACCACTGAGTATGGCACATAGCTAACGTTTTAATATTATTACTCAAGATACTTTGGGTTGTTATTTGACCGTGTAAACATACCAGATAACTTAGCCCTGAACTGAGGGAAGCCACGGAATTTGAATCATCATACGGCTACAACTATTGATTATCTTCATAATGGATTCCGCTGAAAATTATTGTATTAATCATCTCATCGCTCGTTATATTTTCATAAATTCCAAGGTCATGTATCCAGATTTCATTTATTCAACCAACAGTCCAAAATCCCAAAGATATTCAGGATATTAATATTTCAGACAAGGAACGGCATGAAATCCTCATATTTAAGAAGCTAGAGCCAGCAAACCAGCAAAAATATATTTAAATATGAATCGATTATCAAAATAATTGCTTTTGACTGCTTGTTGCGAATGTAAATGGTTATCAGCTGCAGCTATAATTATGATCCTTGTTATGTGTCGCTCTGTCACAATCCCACACACGTTTTCCATGTAGTTATTTTGGAACTGAAGAAAGAGACGAATACAAAGCTAAATCATCCCAAAAGTGACCTTTAGAAAAGAAATAAAGTATCTGGCACAGGATGCAAGAAAACAGGAAATTGAAGCATTTAGGCTACACGTCTCAGAAAATGTTTTGAAGAGAACTACTGGGAGCAGCAGCAGGAACCAAACCCCAGCACCAGGGGATTAACTCTAGTACTGAGGCCAATGGTTTCAACAGGGACACAACAAGGACATCTACACAAGTAGAGTCAAAGGTCACGGGATTCAGTGGTCAAATTCTTTAAAAAGCTTGATTTGCAATGCAAATGTCACACTCTCCTTGTATTGCTATGTAAAGCTCCCAGAAGAAAAGCAAAGACTTTTATATCTTACACCTGTACTGTAGTCCTCCCCCTTCATTCCACTCATTTTATCCCTTTATTCCTTCTTTCCTGTCCTCTTCCTTCAGTCCTTTAATCTGTTGCCAATATCATTCCCTGGCTGCCGTATTCTTGTCTCTTGCAGCTGCACTGATGTTTTCCATCGGTAAATTGAGGACAATTACAGAGATTCCTTACCCCGTTTAGTTTTTGGTAAGGTGCACTAAATAAAGCCGACATTTTAAGATACCTTCCAGTAAAAGGGTTTAAAATAATAATGTAATGAGATGTTAAGCCTGGAGCTGAAGAAGAAGCATTTCTGCCACATACACTGGACTTTTGGTACAATGGAACAATGGATTTTTGACCAATTTACCAATGAAAATAAACATGTCAGGAAGGGCTTAGGCCTTAGGGTATGTCTGCATCATTACCCAAACGTCTTGAGAGTAGGAAATACAACTCTATCTCTGCTGCTAAAAGGTTACAATACATTAAACTTGGTTGCTTGATGCTCAATGATTCTCTGCTCATTAGAGGTAACAAAACTTAACCTTCCACTTACAATACAAACTTCTCCAAAACAAGTCAGCCAGAGAAAGCTGGACTCACTTACATCCCTTTGTAATCGTTTAGAATAGGACGGCTGAGCTGGTGAACAAGAGCATGAAGTTCAGAATACTGACATCCATTTGAACATTTTTGGAGTAGTGAGGTAATGTTTCTATTCCACTTGGAACCAGCAGTGTGTGCAGAGGCCTGTTGCTCTAAATAACTTCAGAATTACTCAACTGTAAAACAAGAGCAAAAGAGTAAATACACCTGGATGTAGGGCCTGTATTAAACTGGGTGATGGTTTCATATAAAAGATGAATAACTGGTAAATGTGTAACATGACCGTTTGTGACATTTTGTTTCATGAGATTTTTCCATTTATAGGACTTGTATTTTTCTTGGATATGTGGCACTATTTTGTTTGAGGAACCATTTATAACAAGTAATGCCTGATTGGGTACTCATATTTCAATTTATTTGACCTTTGACATTTTGCAAACTAGTGTTAATCGTGTTGTTGGTTTAATTCTACGATGTTAAAATGACGGTGTCAGGGCTCGACAGTAAGACTTACCAGGTGGCCATTGGCAACCATTTTGGGAAATTGGCAACCACTTGGTTACCATCGGTGGAAACCACATTTTAAACATCGTTTCCCCTTGAAGAACACAATAATTAAATAATCAGAAACAAGTGCTACCGAATTGAATTTCTTGGTCAAAGCTTTTGTTTTCGCATATCTGACCGGACAGCTTTGTAGCCGGTTTAGCGCGCGCGGGGGGGGGGGGATGGTGTCTCTTAGGTGTCTGTTGGCTGTAAAAGTGAAGTACTTCTACTTTTGGCTCCAGGCACGAGTTTAGTCAAGCAGTTAGGATAGAATGGGGTTTGGCCCAAGACGTGATGGACTGTTTGCCTCCGCAGCTTCACTCCAACTGCTGCTGCTGCCGTCCACTGACAAGAGCGAGAATGACGTTCTGTCTCTTTTAGTTATTCTGGTAACTACTGCAGTCCACATGTACGTGTCCTACTTTTTTATCACCGACCCTGGATGTAGAGCGGGGGTGCTGCTGTGGCACAGATTTAGTCCACTAGAGATGGCAAAGTTAAGAACTGTTTTGGAATAAAAAATGCCAAACCTGTCACCACACAGAAACATAACACAACAGCCGTATAAGATAAGATACATCATCATTGCAGTTGTTATGCAGTGATATAACATTAAGCTTTTTTTTTTACAAATGAGGAAACAAGTTCACATCATCTAGATCCTGTTTAAAATTCTGAGGAGGCAAAGACGTCTTAATCCAAAATATAGAAAAGCAGGATACCAAGCAAAGCTTCTCAACAGTTTCTTTACTTCTCAAAGAAACTCTTCTGTCTTTCTTAAATGTATTTGCAAATCAAACACGGCTCTGATCTGCTGCGGAGGAGGCAGCTTTAATTTAAATGCCTGTTTTAACTTCTGCGCATTATCTCCCAAAGGGAGCGAGCACAACACCGTTTTTAATTCTTGAATTGTGTGATTTAAATACACAGGACACTTTTCACTCCAAATATGCACATGCTTAAAATATTTAAGTTTATACATACATATATATATATATAAGCTGGTATGCGGTCGCCAGCCTCATGACCAATTCTAAAACTTCCTGTGTGAATATAGTTGATACAAGCTGTAACAAACAATTCATCTGTTGAAGCGATGTCAACAACACGACTATCCTCTGTACCGCATTCCTTATGAGTGCAAGCATGCAGTCCTCTCTTTTGTTATCATCCCTCCATTAGTCTTTCCTACAGTGTAGAAATGCCTGTCATATACACACAGGCACACAGAGGTGGTGCCGGTAGCATTACAATAGCACTATATCAGCAAGATGGCAGTTCTGTTCCCAAAGGATCTACGGCTCAGCAGGGTGTGAGAGTCGGGAGGCTCGGGAGGCTACTTGTCAAAACAATACGGGAACTTGACAGCTTCTCCTTCAGAATGCTGCAGCAGGGAGAGGTTACTGAGAGCCGGGCGAGGGCGAGAGGTAACAGGAATGTGGGATTCATGTGGCATGAAGATACATGTCGGAATGTCCATATGTTTGACCTTGTAAAGATGCCAGGAGTGATGTTTTCTATGGAGCTCATTTGACCTTTTCTGCACCCGATCTCAAAGTCGACTACTCCTAGCGCTGTCACTGGTGGAGTTAGCAAGCTAACGGCTAGTTAGAGAGCTAGCTCGCTAATTCCACCATGCTTTAATGTTACACTGGTTACAGAAAAGGAGGCAAACAGCGGGCTGGTGGCCAGCAGCTGGTCTAACTGTCCCTCGGCCTCACTCCACGCTGTACAACATATCATCTTGGATGTTACGGATTGTTGTGCAGACTTGAATCTCATAAATTGATGTTTCTAATATCATCATGTTTCAAAATGCATATCTATTGTGCATTTCAAAAGGACTTCCAAGATATAGAGTTTTCAAGGTAAGATTTGTGGCGACACTGTTGACACCAAATTACCACACTTTGTGTGTGTGTGTGTGTGTGTGTGTGTGTGTGTGTGTGTGTGTGTGTATGTGTGTGCGCGTGTTTCAGGCCCTGCTGTGGTAGCATGGGAGCAGTGTAACAAGGCATCACATCCCAGTGATTAATGCCTTTAATAATGCCAAGAGCACACTGAGGAGGAAAATAAAAAACACTCCCAGGGACGCACAGAAGAATAAATTAAACACACCCTATGTCCAAGGCTATCAAGCAAACTGCCAACAGGCTTTAATGAGCAATTGAATTATATAGAAGCCGAGGACCCCACACACACGCACACGCACACACACACCTTGTGGCTGATGTCATTCGTAAAAACTGATGTTAATAATAGCATTTCACACCTGGGCACTTCTGACAAAATAGCCATCAGGAAAATGAACTACCTTAGTGCTGTGTTTTAATTTGTGCGTGTTATTGTCAGTTTAAGTAAGTCACTGTTGTGGAGCCACCAGTTGACTGTCCACAGAGTGAGAAAGTGTGCGTGGTTATTATTTCGTGCCTCTGAGTATATCTGTCATGCTGTGATCAGGGTAGAGGAAGAAGTGTCACAATACGGGAACAGATGAAGAGAAGTGAAAGCAGGACGACCTGTGTGCTGTAATCCTACCTGCTGAGTAATGAGGAAATGAATGATCAAAATACAATCTTCCACTGATATTTGGTTATTCGTAGGTTGCTGTAGGCTACATCATGTGACTCTAAGGCAATGCCACTCTAAATCTAGTCAACCCCTTTACGCAAATATCAACATCTCTTGTGACGATACCAGAAATTAAGTAGTCAAAAAATGGAGGAACTAATGGAGATGATTCAGGTTAGAGAATCATCACCAGGACAAAGAAGGACACGACAGGATGGGTCAAAGCTCCTGAGATGAGGCAGGAAAAGAACAATTGAAGTAGAAAGAGAACATTTGCTTTGCTTTCCCTCCTCTTGAAGTTTTGGCCATTGTGTT